GCAGAGTCACATGCAATGCGCCCATTGCAGCCCGGATACAGACAAAAGAAATAGTGAACCGCGTGACTCTCGTCTTTCCGCCGTTCGTGGAACCAACACGAAACTCCCGCAAGATCCCTAAGTTTCACCATTCTGTGTCTTCAGCCATCTCTCAATCAAACAGTCACCTGTCGAACTTGTTCCATGGCTTACTGTTGCCAGATTCTTGTTCTGTTTGTCTTCTAGCTTACATAACAAATTTCTGCAGAGCTTAGAGCTGAAAATGCTGCCATTGGAACAGATAACATTTTCGTTCTACTACTGGTGAAATGATGAAAATCATCATTATGGTGATAGAAACCAGAACAAAAGCTCTGATTTTGTAACATGTTTTGATGTTTCTAGTTTTTAGACATGGGTGTTATGTGTACGTAGATGGTAGGTACACTCGGGGGCAGATTGATGTTCCACAACTCTTTATCCACCGGGTTCCTATGGCTCAGCATTGGCAGCAGCCGCCTGGTACCGGTAGACTGTGCCGCTTCACTTACTTGTCAAGCGGCACAGCCTACCCACACCGTATGCCACCGGTCTGGGTCGGTGGCTGGAAGGCGATGTGGGCCGCCTGTGACGTCAGCGCAGCGGCGAGGGCCGAGCCCGGAGGCATGGCTCGGGTCGGCGCGGCGCGGCGGCTGGCGAGGGCTGGGGAGTGAGGTGGGGTGGGAGCACGGACCATCGCGCGGCTGAGCGAGTGTAGTTAGCTTTCGCGTCTCAAGGCGCCAATTATTCTACCTAACAATTGTGCTAAAGCAGTTGTTAAAATGTCCTATCCCCAAGACAGCGCCTATCATCATACTTGCCATGCACATTACGACACACTTAAACGTGGCATTGGGACAGCCGATAGAATTTATATCACACGTGCATCGAGGTGCGGAGCTACATTTTTTTTTAACAGATAAGTATTAAGGCCTTGATTGAGCTCATTGATGTCTATTATTTCGCACAGCAATCGTCCAGAGACGTGGGAACTGGGGTTTTTGGATAGCGCGGCGTCCCAACTTTAAGCAACTCTTACTGTTCCTCTAATGTGTGGTCGCAGCCACCAATAGCAAACCGTTCCATCTAGGAACAAATAAGTCACGCACCTGGGACGGTTCGAACCGGGTTTCTCCAACCGGTCACCCTACGACGCTAGCGTGTATCCACTGAGCTGCCGAAACCAGCGACCACCTGCCGCGGTCAAACGCGATCAAATGTCACAATATTGTCATTGGCGTTCAGCGGGTGAATGTCATTTTGTTTTGTGCAGGCGAGGACCATCCTCGGTAGCTCAGTGGATGAACGCTCGTGTCGTGAATAGGCCGGTGGGAGAAGCCCGGTTCGAACCCCCCTGAGTGGCCGACTTCTTGGCTCCTAGTTGCAACGGTTTGCTATTGGGGGCTGCGACCACATATTAGAGCAACAGTAATAATCGCTTTAAATTGGGGCGTTGGCTGCGGCACTACTCATAACCCCCAGTTCCCACGTCTCTGGATGATTGCCGTGCGAAACAATAGACACCAATCTGCTCAATCAAGGCCTTAATACTAATATGTTATACAAAATATAGCTCCGCACCTCGATGCACGAGTGACATGAGTTCTATCGGCTGTCCCATTGCCACGCTTAAGTGTGTCGTAATGTGCATTGCAAGTATGATGATAGGCGCTGTCTTGGGGATAGGACATTTTAACAACTGCTTTAGCACAATTATTAGGTAGAATAATTGGCGCCTTGAAAGGCGAAAGTTAGCTACACTCGCCCAGCCGCGCGATGTCCGTGCTCCCACCCCACCTCACTCCCTAGCCCTCGTCAGCCGCCGCGCCGCGCCGACCCGAGCCATGCCTCCGGGCTCGGCCCTCGCCGCTGCGCTGACGTCACAGGCGGCCCACATCACCTTCCAGCCACCGACCCAGACCGGTGTCATACGGGTGGGTAGGCTGTGCCGCTTGACAAGTAAGTGAAGCGGCACAGTCTACCGGTACCAGGCGGCTGCTGCCAATGCTGAACCATAGGAACCCGGTGGATAAAGAGTTGTGGAACATCAATCTGCCCCCGAGTGTACCTGCTGCTGGTTATGTGCTCACAGATTTAAAAGAATAAAATTTCGAATATATTCTTATCGGTTCCATGAACAGCAGCCACTATGGAGATGTTGGTTGTTCAGTTAAACACTCCTTGGGCTAACTATTCCTGCGTATTTTTGTTTTCTGCTGGTTCTTATACACATTCTTAACTCCACCACGCCCAAAGCTCATATCTTTGAGTACCCCGAAGTGTCATCGATTCGTGAGAAGCAAACTGTAGAAAAACTTGCCTGGCGCTTGCTACCGATATCGAGACAGCAGTAAAGCACGACGCAGGGGAGAAGCGAGGGAGCAAAAACTGGCGCGCTAAGCCGGCGACCACTTCACGAAACATGTCCCAACTGCTCACTTCATGACCAATAGTGATCCGTGAGTCACGTAAAAAGTTGCTTACTCGCCGCACATAAGGTGAGATCGTGATTATTGAAGTCGTTCGCGTTTTTGGGCTGCCCCGGCGTATCACGGCTAATGCACGAAAATTCCTGTGTGAAAAGTGTTAACTACGTTAGTTCTACAAACACTTGCACAACACAATTACTAGATTGCGAAAATAACGTGTATGTTTGCTCCGAAAATTACATGCAAGAATAGAAAAGAGTAGCTTGACAGAAAAGAGGTCATGTGGGTCACTGAATCAGCCCACACTTTGAGGTCAATGGCTTGACAAACAAATCTGACACGATAAGAGGAGGCGTATATCTGATCAAACATACAACGCCAAAATCGGTGAAGGTGCGTCGCAAAAAAGTCGTGGTCCTTGATTGCGCAATACGCATCTATTTCGCATTTGATGCGGAAAGGTAAATGTGCGTTCTTGCTCAAATATGCATCAAAGTTAAAAGAATATAATCGTTTTCAGGATTGCCAGATGAAGCACATGTATACGCGTTGTTCTTTTAGCAATGCCGGTTGAAGCTGCGTGCATTAATTTACGAAATAGAAAATCATCACTCTTTGGTAGCTGACAGAAATAAATGACCAGACAACTTGGTCACATATTTGACCAATAATAAAGGCAGCTGAAAGTGAGTGCATAAAAGGGAGGTCCAGTACGAAAAAGAAGTCAGATATGTGCCTTCCGTACCACCGATAACAGCTGTAACCTGTTACAATGATTGTGCGCTGTATTTAGAGGACAGAGAAAATCTCTTTAGCGAAAGCGACCATAAATGTGAATATAACATTGCAAAGCTGCCCTCTATTCAAAGGGCAGAAAAAATATCTACGGTGAACTCAGCCATGCAATTGCTTCATATCACTTCATATCATATAATATCATACCATGTCAATGTTTCTTTTATGGTCGCTAGAAAACCAATGTAGGTACCTACACCCGAAGCTCTTATCCCAGACATAGAGGAAGGTGGGGTAAGACGGCTCAGCGGTGCAAGACGGGCCACCATCCTTACCGGCTGAACTGCTGCTGTTATCTGCTGCTTATTGCACTAACAACCTTTGTTATCTGCGTTAATGGCCACCTTGAACTCATGCGACCGATGCATGGACTTTGAGTTATTGAGAAAATGTTGTTTTCCGTCAAATTGATCTACTGTAAGAGGTCCAAAGGTGATTTAATTTAGGCTTCTTTCTTGCATGATTAATCTTCATTTGCACTTTATTGTGAAAAACAATGTTATATTCACATTTTAACCCGCGCACCGACGGGGGGGGGCGGATATCCGCCCCCCCCCTGAGGTTTTTCGCGGATAGCGGGAAAACCGCGGCGCGTAGCGCCGCGAAATTTGGTATGACTATTCTCTCATCAATTTTACACATGGTGTGCAAGTTTGAACCTCCTAACTTTTAAGGTCAGGTCACCAGGTCACTTTGAATGACCCAACCTCAAGTCACTTTTTTGCAACTTTGTCACCGTGCCAGAGCTACAGTAGATGTCGGAGGCCTTTGAAAGTCGCAGGATGTTATTAGGTCATTAGTAGCTACAATTTGTATATCTCGGAATTTTGATGTCGGTGACCTAAGGTCAGGTCAATTTCGCGACCTCCCCATTATAAGTCAATGGGGGAAAAATCAACTCCCTGTTTTTACCACTAAAACGGGTCGGAATGGCCCCATATACCATACATGACTTCACATACGATCAACCTTCACTACCTTGAGGTCTGTTTTGCTGTTGGGCAGCTGTAAGGTCATGTGACGTCATCAAAGGTCACCAAAGGTTTTTTGCCAATAACTCCTTACAGGAACAAGACACAGCCGCGCGGATGGTCTCATTGTGTTCAGCTCGTCAAGACGCATCGAATGATATACATGATGACCTCGAGGTCACGTGACCTGAGGTCAACCTTTGACCTTGACCTTTCGAGGTCAACATATATATCATTCGATGCGGATTGACGAGAGGATCACGATGATGCCCTTAGTTTGTTCCTATCTTGACTACTTCGAAAGTTATTCGAGAAAAACCCTCTCCATATCTAGCGCCGCCATTTTGACTTTTTCGACCCCTGTGACGTCATCTTTGACCTGACCTGAAAATGACCTTAGTAAAAATTGTAGACCTTGTCCGTGCGTATCCGATGCCGTTTACCGCTTGTCGCTATCTTGCTTCGTTCTCGAGATCTCAGGGGGGGGCGGTCATCCGCCCCCCCCCGTCGGTACTAAGTTGGCGCAGACCCCCGTCGGTGCGCGGGTTAAGACAGGCAACGCTTCCCAATATCAACTAACTCAAAGGCAGTAGTATCAATTTACATGGGTGCCTGCAGTACCTGACTGTATGAGCGTTACGACAACGATGCATGCATATTGCAGACCACCGAATGCTCTCGTGATCATCCGGTAACCGACGTAGCGTCGGTAACCGGCCTAACACTTGACATGTGACACAGGGGAGGGGTCACGGTGACACACGTTCGCGTCTCGCGGTTGACTTACATTTAGGAATCTCGATGTCGGCCGGGATCCCGTCGCTGCTAACGCTGGCCAGATTCTGAGGCGGCATGGTGTCGCTGCTGCTGTCTGCTGCTGTCTCTGATGTCTCTCTGCTGTGTGCTGCTGTCTCTGCCTGTTGGCTGCTGTCTCTGATCTCCCTGCCACCCTGTGCTTCACGTGCCGTCTTCTGCTGTCACTGCCGGCGCGCTGCCGCACCGCCGTGGTTTTATTCGGGGTCACTCGGCAGCCGACCGGTGACGTCATCTCTCGACGGCGGATGACGTCACAGACACACACACATACACACACGGCGCTCTCGTGTACCTGTTGACCGGCGCTGCCGAGAGAGGCCGGAGACGATGGGAGAAGAGGGCGGAATTTATTGGATCCTCACACGACAGGTAGACCATCACCATGCACATTGCACATACCGGCTTCTGGCTGACTTGAACTGGTATGAAGTTGTTACTGACGAATTAAACTTGCTTGCTAATGTTGTTGTTTAATTTTATCTTATAGCAGACGCAACATGCCGATAAAAATTGTGAACTTTCTATAACTTATTTGCAACATTGCTTGTGTGGATGACATTGGGTAAAACGCAAAAAAAAACTACTTAATCTAACACACTTATTTCTAACGCACCTAAATCCATTTGAAATTGAACAACATTAGCCGTGTTTACATAGGGTTCCCTTAATCTTCCCCTATTTCTCCCCTATTTTCAGATCGAATTTTAAGCATCATAGCGATCGCGTGTAACGTTGCTATGGGCGCTATTGTTGTTAGAAGCATACAAAGCATCGTTTATGCTGTAAACAATATAAATTGGGCTTATTTAATACTCGAAATTCAACAATTCATATTTTGAAGTATTTTTATCCTGCCCTTCAATTCCCTCTTTAAGCGACAAATAGGGGAAGATTTGGTAGCGTAGCGCCTTTCCAAAAGCTGCTACGCTACCATATCCAGTGGTTCTCAAACTACCACATCACAAAAGCGGCGTGCTGATTGGCCGGCAATTCCGAATCGTCCGACTGGTGGTCCCCGACTCGACAAGCGCACGTGCGCCGACTGAGGATTTTTAAGTGGCATTAACGCATTAACGGCCGAAAGTCAAGGCAGAAATTCGACAGGTGCGGTGTACTGATATTGCCGTGGATGTGATTACACCTACTTGAATAATAGCTCAGCCGTTTAAAGTATGTTAAATGCCAGATAGTTTTCTGATTTTTCTTGCTTTGAGCTTTCATGTGCTATCACTTTCATCTCAGTGTCTAGTCTGGAAGCTATTTGGGAGAGCCCTAAAGGTAAGTAAAAATTGCAAACTGCTTCTAGAATGACTTAGTTGCGCCATATTTGTAGTGAAGCGAGGTAAAGGAGACAGAGGATTCCTTTACAAGGGACATTTAAGAGACAAATAGGGGAAGATTAAGGGAACCCTATGTAAACACGGTTATTGTGCTGTTCGATGTTTACAAAAAAACGAAATCATGGGGTTAACAACGCTCATATGCAGCACACTGGAGGCTGAACAGCTCCGTGAGCAGCGAAAGGTCGCTTACGGACGTTTTCGCTGCTTTCGAGGTCAAATTTGTATATCTCGTAATACTGGATGTGTAGAATCTCTGCCCTTTCTTCGTCCTCTTTTTCTAGTTGATTTTGTCATACGCGTGCCTTGAGGAAGTACGCGACATGGTTGTTTGTTGATGAGATACAGAAGGAACCTGTTTATAACATATTCCGCCGGAACCTACTCGGCTGGCCCGTGAAAAGGACCTTGTAACTTCCTGATTTTTTCCGGAGATGAGTTCTGATGTATTCGGAAGTGTTTACATGATCACTCATGGTGAATTTGTAATGATCCTAGTTCTGGAAATGCAAAGGTCGCAGTTTCGTAGAAAATTTAACTCTGATCCATGTCTCGTTGAAATGTTGTTTATCTGTGAAATCGGTTGTGTTTAGAATAAAATTGATTGAAAACTGTAGAGTATATTTTCAATATAATTTTTTCCTGGTCGGCTTGAAAACTAACTATTGGTAATTTGGAAACAATGCAGTCGATCCAATGCAGTATGCTGTTTCAATTAGCGGTCTATTTGGCTTAGTTTTGGGTTATTTGACCGGGAGGCGCCTGAGTCGAGTTATTTACATTTCCTTCCTGTGTGTCGTGTTTTTGGTTCCTCCGGTCGGTCTCCTAATGCGCCGGCTGACGAATGGTGATTTATTCACGAGCGACAGGGCCATGAAGAGTCACTTCCTTTCCCTCACTGCGCCGGAGCCGGAATACGATTTGATTTGCTTCCGATGAGGCAGAACTCGACACAGTGATGGCGAATAAGACATCGCTAAATGCAAAACTCTGTATGCGTAACATGTCATACGTGTCATACGTAACACGTCATACGTGTCATACGTAACACGTCACACGTGTCATGCGTAAAACGTCGTGCGTGTCAAAAGTAGCACGTCACACGTGTCATGCGTAATTCTTTAACCCTCGCCCTGGCAGGGCATTTTTCATAACACGGCCTGGCAGGGGGGTCGATGCGACCCCCCTCGCGATTGGCTCCTATGGCACCTAGAAACACTCAAGTTTTTCTTAAATTTTAAGTAAAATTAAATTAATGAATTAAGTTAAAGTTAACCAAATTGCATCATATTGCATATCATTCGATTTGGCTGATCACCAGGAACACAATGATACCATTTTTTAAGCTCTAGCGTCATTATGTGCCAGGTTATTGGCAAAAACGTCATTTGACCTCAGTTGACCTCATTTGACCTGACCCATGGATAAGTACACCAAACAAAGAAGCACCAAGTGACCTGCTGTTAACCCTATTCCTGGCGGGGGGGGCCTCAGGAGCCCCCCCCCCCCTGAGGTTTTTTGGTTATTTCTCCCAAACGCGTTGAGCTAGGAAGCTCAAATTTTCTGACTTTTCCTAAAAGACTTCTACGCAACATGCCTGAAAATTTTGAGTTGATCTGACCTCAGGTCAGGTCACCAGAGGCGGTTTGGTGACCCTACCTCAGAAAAGTTTGCAATCACGCCAGAGCTAGAGTTTTTGACCGATCAATTTCTTCTCTTCAGGCTTTAGTAAGGGTACCAGTATGTGCAATTTGTATATCTCGGAATTTTGATATCGGTGACCTAAGGTCAGGTCAGTTTCGCGACCTCCCCATTATAAGTCAATGGGGGAAAAATCAACTCCCTGTTTTTACCACTAAAACGGGTCGGAATGGCCCCATATACCATACATGACTTCATATACGATCAACCTTCACTACCTTGAGGTCTGTTTTGCTGTTGGGCAGCTGTGAGGTCATGTGACGTCATCAAAGGTCACCAAAGGTTTTTGGCCAATAACTCCGTACAGGAACAAGATACAGACGCGTGGATGGTCTCATTGTGTTCAGCTCGTCAAGACGCATCGAATGATATACATGATGACCTCGAGGTCACGTGACCTGAGGTCAACCTTTGACCTTGACCTTGCGAGGTCAACATATATTGATTTATTCACGAGCGACAGGGCCATGAAGAGTCACTTCCTTTCCCTCACTGCGCCGGAGCCGGAATACGATTTGATTTGCTTCCGATGAGGCAGAACTCGACACAGTGATGGCGAATAAGACATCGCTAAATGCAAAACTCTGTATGCGTAACATGTCATACGTGTCATACGTAACACGTCATACGTGTCATACGTAACACGTCACACGTGTCATGCGTAAAACGTCGTGCGTGTCAAAAGTAGCACGTCACACGTGTCATGCGTAATTCTTTAACCCTCGCCCTGGCAGGGCATTTTTCATAACACGGCCTGGCAGGGGGGTCGATGCGACCCCCCTCGCGATTGGCTCCTATGGCACCTAGAAACACTCAAGTTTTTCTTAAATTTTAAGTAAAATTAAATTAATGAATTAAGTTAAAGTTAACCAAATTGCATCATATTGCATATCATTCGATTTGGCTGATCACCAGGAACACAATGATACCATTTTTTAAGCTCTAGCGTCATTATGTGCCAGGTTATTGGCAAAAACGTCATTTGACCTCAGTTGACCTCATTTGACCTGACCCATGGATAAGTACACCAAACAAAGAAGCACCAAGTGACCTGCTGTTAACCCTATTCCTGGCGGGGGGGGGCCTCAGGAGCCCCCCCCCCCTGAGGTTTTTTGGTTATTTCTCCCAAACGCGTTGAGCTAGGAAGCTCAAATTTTCTGACTTTTCCTAAAAGACTTCTACGCAACATGCCTGAAAATTTTGAGTTGATCTGACCTCAGGTCAGGTCACCAGAGGCGGTTTGGTGACCCTACCTCAGAAAAGTTTGCAATCACGCCAGAGCTAGAGTTTTTGACCGATCAATTTCTTCTCTTCAGGCTTTAGTAAGGGTACCAGTATGTGCAATTTGTATATCTCGGAATTTTGATATCTGTGACCTAAGGTCAGGTCAGTTTCGCGACCTCCCCATTATAAGTCAATGGGGGAAAAATCAACTCCCTGTTTTTACCACTAAAACGGGTCGGAATGGCCCCATATACCATACATGACTTCATATACGATCAACCTTCACTACCTTGAGGTCTGTTTTGCTGTTGGGCAGCTGTGAGGTCATGTGACGTCATCAAAGGTCACCAAAGGTTTTTGGCCAATAACTCCGTACAGGAACAAGATACAGACGCGTGGATGGTCTCATTGTGTTCAGCTCGTCAAGACGCATCGAATGATATACATGATGACCTCGAGGTCACGTGACCTGAGGTCAACCTTTGACCTTGACCTTGCGAGGTCCACATATATATCATTCGATGCGGATTGACGAGAGGATCACGATGATGCCCTTAGTTTGTTCCTATCTTGACTAATTCGAAAGTTATTCGAGAAAAACTCTCTCCATATCTAGCGCCGCCATTTTGACTTTTTTGACCCCTGTGACGTCATCTTTGACCTGACCGGAAAATGACCTGAGTAAAAATTGTAGATCTTGACCGTGCGTATCCGATGCCGTTTACCGTTTGTCGCTATCTTGCTTCGTTCTCGAGATCTCAGGGGGGGGGGCGAATCGCCCCCCCCCGCCAGTTTCTTGTCCCGGCGGAGCCCGCCAGGAATAGGGTTAAGTACTGTGGTTTCAAAGCACAAAAGTGATAGAACGAAGCGGATATCTCCAGTATTTTCCGAATTTAGTATTTTC